GTATGATACAAAAATGAAGTAACTACAAATACAATTCTTCCGTTAAAGGAATTAAATTAATAAACATCCATGTGTGGAAAAAAATAAAAAAATAAAAAAAAAAAATAAAAAAAAAAAAGGGAAATTATTTTTAAGGGGCAGTATAATTGATTTGCTTTTGGGTCTCGGACTACCGGATATATTGAGGTTGGTCGCCCATGGTCTGAACCCATTTGATGCGCCGACTGTCGACTTTCCGACAGATGGTGGTCCACCCAAATGTGAAAGTAAATGGACAGGCAGTAATTGGTTTAGTCCAAAAGTGAGAAGATTATTGATTCAAATAGAATATTTAATGTATGACCCCTGACTTTATTTTGCGGTCCAATGCCACGTTTGCAGCTCCTCAGCAAGCAATTAAGGAAAGAGATTTCGGAGAATCTTAAGAACACTAATTAAGGCCCTTAAGTACAACCTTCACTCTTACTCTGAAGAATCTTGGAGCTCGAATATTTGCATGTACATGTCTTTGTTCAATGTTTCCTAATTTTTATCATCCTAATGATCAAAGCAACGATTTGGAATTTCAAATCTCTTCCAATGATCCCCACCAAGAAGATATGATGCAAATAGAAGATCTGGTGCCGGGTCATGAGGTTTTGCCAGAGGGAAGCGATCCATCCCATAACAATAAGAAAATGGGAAAAGGCAAGCAGCAACATATGATATTATTTGCTCATCCGGACAATAATGAAGCAAATCCTAGTGATGTAAAGGTTGAAAGGAAGATCGTGCGTAGGGACAACGAGCGCCAAAGAAGACAACTTATGGCAGTTCTAAATGCATCTCTTCGATCCCTCCTCCCTCATGAATTGATCAAGGTCAAGAATCAAGATCAACCTCTCTAAATATATGTACATAACTTTTTTAAGCCACGCTTAATTTCTTAATTTTATATTGGGGATTGAATTTGAATGTCTTGATTTAGATAATTAATGTTTCTAGGGTTTTTTATTATGGGATTTTAGGGAAAGCGTTCAATCTCCGAGCACATGAACGAGACGGTGAATTATATAACTCAAATGAAGAGGAAGATCCAAGAATTGAATGCTAAGAAAGAAAAGCTTAGAAGGTTGTATGAATATGATTCTAGTGCACAAGAGTTTGGTCTAGAAAATGAAACTTTGGGTCATGATTTGGCTAACTCCGTGACCAATATCATGGTTGGGCCAACTTTTTTGGGGGGAGTGGAGGTTGTGATAAGTAGTAGCTGCAGCGAGGATGAAGGGTTGCCTCTTTCAAGAGTGCTGAAATTGTTGCTTGCTGAAGGCCTTTGTGTTGTTGAGTGTTCTTCCACCAGAGTAAACGAAAGGGTCTTTCACACTATTCAGTGTGAGGTATATATATATATATGGTCGTTCCTTTCAATTTAGCTACTCATCTTGATATATATAGGTATTGTAGGAAGCTATCCAAGAAAGTTTATTCACAGTTTTTGTTCAATCCACAGGTTGACGATTTGGAATGTGTGGATTTGTCTGATTTGCAACTGAAACTAAATTTGCAAATCTGAGTGGCAGGCATATCGTTAATTGTTAGGAGGTATTCCCCTCCCTAGCTACGTGAATTAGTTGTCCTTTTTGATGTATCAAAACCCTAGATTTTTTGTTGTAATTGTGATTTGTCTAATGTTTGATGTTTCATTACTTGTAGTGCCTTGTTTTAATACTTGTACGTACATTTTGATGCTGTGAACTCATTAGTTCATGCAACAACAGAAAGCAACAAAAATTATTTGTGATGTTCATGTTGTCAACCTCATAGTTCAACATATTAATTCATATTATCCTAATTTTGTAGATTATTCAGCATAATTGAGACATTAAATATCATATATACATCAGCATATGAAACTGTGCAAATTATTCTGATGATTACTTAGTAACATATTATTAAATTTATTGATGCTGCATAAAATTTTAATATGGATCATGCAACCTTTTCATTGCCTGTTGTTTAAGTACATGTGTATCAAGATTAAATGTCCAATTATATAACTTTTAGACCATATTAATCTTAAACTCGCATGCTTAGCTAATCTTATATATATTTTCATGGTATGCTCTATAAGGCATACTGATGTATTCACAGTTGTTTAAGTTTGCTGCTGGGTGCTTCTCGTTAGAACTGATATATCACTAGCCGGGTTAGAGGATTTTTCATTTTCCTTGTGATTATATATATTGCAAGCAAATCATAGTTGGATAGAGTTGTTGGCAAGAATCAAAACTCATGATTTTTTAAATAAAATTAATGTAGAGATTCTTCTTCCCAAACGAAACACCAGGACTGAATAGATACTACACCTAGAGTTGTAGACCATGATCCTACCAACTCCAATTTAATGGTTTTCTATGTACATGCATGCATGAATATGGATTACTATAACATATAATTCTATTTATGTTGACATGGATTACCACCTAACGGCCTATACGTACATATCTTGAAAATCTTGGAAATTAATATCAATCCCAAGTTCCATGGATGTATATATAGTTACAGGCTTACAGCTCTGGTATTCGTATATGTTCAAAAGGGTAATTGCTTTTGTTGATGATATTGACTTCACGTATTCATAACTTAGCTTTGCTCCACCAGCATGAACCGATTTCTGCAACCAACATCAACTTTGGTGAATTCGAACTTTATGAACAAAATCAAAGGATTAATGTTAAGTCTAGTGTTAGTGGTTGTTCGTTTTTCAATTGTTGGAGCTATAGCTAGCTTCCTTTCTCAGCACTTGTTGCAAAGAATTTTCCTCTGCCTTTGAACTATTAGATAAGTATATGCAGAATTTTGTGTTTAAATCATTAAAAGCGCTTTTATTAAAAGCGCTTATGAGTAGAATTGCTTCCTAAAGAAGCAGCCTCAAACGAGCCCTAACACTAGTGGTTTCTGATTTTTTAATGCAGAACCTTTGGTGTTTTCTTCTTTTTAGCCATTGCATGCCCGTATTATTGGTGAACTTCACATCATCTTCTCTGTTTTCTACTATAGTAGCAAGTATAGTAGAAAGCAAGCACCCCCTAATGCAAATCGAATTCGTACTCGTTTAGAATAAGAGGAGCCCAGAAGCCCAAAAACAGTAAAGCCCAAAGAGTCTTCGGACAAAAGAGAGATGGTAGAACTAAGGCCCAATCTCCCTTAAATAGTACTAATTATCATTAACAATGTTCCTTCATGGCAGCTAAGCTAAGCTTTCTGCATGTAATTAAATCTAAGAGCAAGATTAATTATATACAGGCTACAGCTAGAGCCTAGAGAGTGCATTGTGCTGTAGCGAAGCCAGCCCAGAAGAACACTTTTTCCTAAGAAAACTTCAACCCAGGATTTATATATATATATATATATATATGCTAAGTCCCAAACCAAAGTCTAGGTTTGAGGAGTACTTGGTCCCCTGCCCAAATTTGCGGCAAGTATAGCTCTAAGTAGTGTCACTTGGCACAACCCAGACCCTTCCAATTTGAGATGCTAATTATGGGTGGGATTGGATTGCACTACATAATGTTTCTTTTTTATTTTATTTTGGGGTCAATAATGTTGGATTATTCGATTTCTTTTTATTTGTTATTATTTTCAAAAAGAAAAAGGGGGTAGGCAGAAGCTGAAAGACTTTGTATAGGCTATTGTCAACTGGAAGACTTTTGTATAGCATATAGCAATGGGAGGGGAGCCTTCGATGAAAGTGCAAAATTCTTCTTTCTTGTTTGTACAGCGTCAATGAGCAGAGGCTTTGATTCATTGGAAGCTTTTGCGGCCAAGTGCTTAATTAATTTATCATTTGTATTATTAAGCACATACCTTCTTTTTTCTTCTTTATTTTGGTCTGAGATTAAGCACGTAGCTTGGTAAAAGGGTTCCTGCCTCCGAATTCAAGCCTAAACAATATTCGTTTAATTGTCTTCCTAAACTCAGATCACTAAAAAAACTGTATTTTATGTAAAAGAGTTTAAATTCATAACATTTTGGTTGCGTGTGAGAAACCCCTATGTCTTTATAATTTAGACTATCGCTTGTATAAATTGAGGCTCAACGGTAATATTTAGTTGTTAAATCAGCTTTAGAATGGCTAAACAAATGAGAGTTGGTGAGATCCCATCCGTTTATTTAATAATATAACAACTGATGTGCAAGTTCTCAATCTAATCCTCATTACAACGTCACTGATTAACAAGAATCGATTATATATATATTTACCATGAATCAAGCAATAAAATTGCAATTCTCTGTTTCAAAGGTGGAAAGGGACTATTTTATCCTAATCATTGAACCAACTGTTAAAAAAAATAGTAATAACAATTAGACCAGCTTGGACTCAATTTCTTCCCTTTCTACCAACACCCAAATAAGTTTATTTGTGACAATCCTAGGATTAGCTTCAGCATACCTTTTTTCATTTTGTGCTCTTGGATCTAAAAGAAAAGATGGGTACATGCCATCAGGTTAAAGCTCATTGGCATTAGAGAGTTAATAATGTATTCAGTATTCAATTAAATATGTTAATTACAGCTAATTATTATAAATATAGGTGACTGTGACCTATTCTTAGCTGGTTTTAGCCAACAATTTTTTTTTAATCGCAAAATCAATAGTTAATTTGTGCTGCATCATAACTTTGAAAGGTTGCGATTGATGGTTACATACATAGCCAACGTCATAGCGGGTGATGGTGTCACTTTCAACTCTATAGAAAAAAGGGTTACACATATCATCTAAACCTCAATTGGTATTTTATATCACGTATTATTAATAATAAAATAATTTTCTATGAAAGTCTAATTAATGAGAAAATTAAAAATGTGACATTTCCAATGAAAAACTATAGCTTGGGCAAAAGCTAACAAAGCACTAGAATACATGAGGTTGAAGGCTGCTTGTGATCGTATAGATAGAGAATAACATTTTGTTCTCACCATTGAACATCAAATTCCTTGACTTCCAAGGCTGGCTTTTGTCTTCACCATAAGACTCCTTCCCTTTTGCTTCAAAACTTCCGAAATATTTGCCCTCTCATCTTCTTGCTTTGATCAACCTTTTGTACTCTTCTCCATCCTTCACAGTCAAACTCCATTTTATTATTAATCCACTGCCCTCCATATATACCTCAGTTATGAAGGCTTTTTCTTTCTTTCCAAGGACCAAAATGCCCTGGAACTGCTTTTGCTGCGTCTCTCAAGATCAAGAGGAACCAGCTGAGACCAGGTACACATAATTATACTCAATTTTGATTAATTATCTTTAATTGTTACCAATTTTCATGTTAATTCTTGGGGTGATTTGATGAATTAGTAGGGTGCACAAGAACAGGGATTACCCGTGGGATATATATTCCCTCAAGGAGCTTCTTCATGCAACAAACAGCTTCCACCATGACAACAAAATTGGAGAAGGAGGGTTTGGAAGTGTTTATTGGGGTCGAACAAGTAAAGGCGTCGAGGCAAGGCAATCATGTCCATCTTTTTCCTTTGAATAATTTCAATTCCTTCTAATTATACAAACAATCAGTATTCGGTTTCCTTTCTTCTCTAGTTGAATTTTTTCTAACACTTTGGTCACATGTGTATGTGCAGATAGCTGTGAAACGACTAAAGACGATGAGTGCAAAGGCAGAGATGGAGTTTGCAGTGGAAGTTGAAATACTCGGAAGGGTGAGGCATAGAAACTTGTTAGGCCTGCGGGGATTTTATGCCGGCGGTGAGGAAAGGCTCATAGTGTACGATTACATGCCTAATCATAGCTTGATCACCCATTTGCATGGCCAACTTGCAGCAGATTGCCTTCTTGATTGGCCAAGACGAATGAGCATCGCCATTGGATCAGCTGAAGGTCTATCGTAAGTACATAAACTAATCGCCAATTTGCCTAACCAAAAATGTTATATAAAATATGAAAGTAAACCCTTGATTAGGTCACTTAAATTTGTATGAAAGTAAACTCTTCTGAAGACTATTGGCTTCTTCAAAGTGCTATGATTAACTTCATTAGAAAATTAGATTGATCAGAAATCCTTATATGTATACCAGATGTCAAGATCTAATTGTCACTAAACCTTATGTTAACTTAGATTCTAATTTTGGTCCTTTAACTTTGGATACTCCTAAGTACAAAACTGTGAACATATGCGTACATTATGACTTCTAAACACAATAAAATCCAAGTATTACTCTTAATTCATAGATTAAGTTTTAGTATTATCTAGCGCATTTTTCGATCTTCATTTGCCTGTTTGATTGTTAAGGTACCTGCATCATGAGGTCAATCCTCATATAATTCACAGAGACATAAAGGCCAGCAACGTGCTTCTAGACACTGAATTTGAAGCAAAAGTCGCTGATTTTGGATTTGCAAAGCTGATCCCGGATGGTGTAACTCATCTGACTACTAGGGTAAAGGGAACTCTTGGATATCTAGCTCCTGAATATGCCATGTGGGGTAAAGTTTCTGAGAGCTGTGATGTTTACAGCTTTGGGATTTTGCTCTTAGAAATAATTAGCGGAAAGAAGCCGATAGAGAAACTCCCCGGCGGAGTGAAACGTGACATTGTTCAATGGGCCACCCCTTATGTCCAAAAGGGTTTATTTAATCAAATTGCAGATTCAAGGTTGAAGGGCAAGTTTGATCGAGAACAAGTTAAGTCCACGGTACTGATTGCCATGAAATGCACTGATAACAGCCCTGATAATCGACCCACCATGATAGAAGTGGTGGATTGGCTTAAGGGTGGAATAGGAAGAAGGAAAAAAGAGATCACAAATCATGTGGACGAGACTGAGGATGAAGAAGAAGTATACGACGAAACCGACACCGATCATGAAAATTATGGTATGGAGCTATCTGATGCCAGAGAGAATATTACAAGGGCTAGATCACAGAGGAGATGACTTCACCTTAGGTTCTTTTTGAGCCATATAATTTTTTCGTTTGTGAAATCGAAATGTTAATGTATCTACCTGACCTTAGGTTCTTTTTGAGCCATATCATGAGTCATGTAAGTTGATGGAGAAACTAGAAAACATGACTTGGTCTTTAGAGCGTGTACAGGTTTAATAGAGTCTTCACACTTTATTTTGAAATATACTCAATATTGTACTACAAGTCTACAGGTATTATTCCTTTCTGGCTCATCTGTTTGTCTTGATATTGATTAATTAATCCCTTTATTTATACGTACTAATTTATTTGGAATTTCTGTCCGGCGGTTCATGCATTCAGAAATACTTCAAATACATAAGACATTATTGACTTTCCATATTAAGAAACGCTCCTCTCGTATACATAAACTATTTATAAATTTAAAAAACCACAACTAGCTAAGCTTTACAGGGATGGGAATGTTATAATTCAGTTTGATTTTAATTTAAAAAATAAATATGAAGATTATAAATATGTGTAAACAAATCACGAATATACTGCTAGGAGATATTAAGGGTTCGTTCTGGTATCCTGCTAAAAAAGGTGAACTAAAAAACAATAATTCTTTTTAAAAACATGAGATTTCAAATGCTAATCTTAAGATCTAAAAACATGTTTGGTATTGAACTCCAAACTATTTTTAAGATCTAAACAAAATTGAAATTGAAATTAACAAAAAATAGAGAGAGAGAGAGAGAGAGGCATGGTGGGTTGTTAGAAAAAAAAAACTGAAAAAACAGATATTTTTTGTTTTTAATAATTGAGGTGTTTTTTAGTTTATTTTGGATTTGAGTTTTCAAAAATAGGCCTACCAAACGGGTGTTTGTTTGTCTTTTAACTTAAAGTCTGTTTTTGAGTTCATAAAATTGGATTCAAATCTAATACCAAACAAGCCTTAAGATTCTTCCGAGTCTTAAGGAAATAGAGAATGGTGAGGCACACCCAAAGATTACGTTAAGCAAGCACTAATTAAGGTTTCATGCTTGAAAATATACAACTTTGGAATGATGAACTCTCTTGGACCAAAGTTTATTTATTTATTTTGGTTTGGAAGTTTGCTATACTTTCGATCGACAAGCTCTAGTGTGAAGGGGACAATTGAATACGTGTAGTTTTTGCTATTATTTATTCAAATTAAAATTTGAAAGCGTGAAAGCAACGGCATATTATTATTATAATTCATCTTGATCTTAAAATTAATAACATAAAAAATATGTCTTTGCTTTGCATGTTGGAAAGCATGTCATTCGTTATATTTGTTGTTCTACCGGATGCGTTGCTGTGTGTTTTCTAAGAAAACTACTAATGAATCCCTTCCAAATTGGAAATCAAAATCTCGAATAGTTCCAAACTTGATCAAGACAAAAAATCCATGTCACGCTCCAGCAAGAAAAGAGGCCCAAAAAGCAGAGATTAGTGTTGGAAATTTGGCTCACCTAAGGATACAAAGTCCTCTTTTTTGTGCTATGGATTTCTACCTAATTCCATGACATGGTTGACTCATTTCTAGATGAATTTTGGAGTTGCCCATGTGAGTAAATATTGGCTTGCCATCTTTGTCAAAAATAGGTGACTTGTTTGGTGGCACAAAATGGTGGAATGTTTGGTCAAAATAGAGAATAAAATTAATTTTTACAAAATTAAGGAATATATTTGCAAGCGAGCTATGCAAATTGTTGTGTTGCCTGTGTCCCACCCTTTTAAGTTTTATGTTGGTTACCATCAATCACAAGTCCAAGTAAAACACGTACACACACCCTATCAAGTGTCCAAGTAGGAGTAGTCCCACTATTATATAATGCAAAGTTTCCCTCCCTCGAGGCTAGAGGCTTGGAGGTTAGAGGTTTGAGGTTTGAGGTTTGAGGTTTGAGGTAAGCTATCAATATTTCCAAAGTTGAATAATATTTCTCGATCAGCGTTTAATAATGGTCTTGATTTGTATAATTTCTACATTGATCACAACAGTTAATATAGTCAATTCATTATTTCAATTATGTAATTAATTATCTAATAACAACAATTATATTTAGTTGAATTATTATGTTGCTCAAACTTTGACGACAAAAAAGAGAGTGGACTTTGTGTTTGACTCTATAGAATCGGCTTTGTCTCCTTTTAAGTTATATAAACGATGATACACATAAAACTATTAGACCAGCGGACACAAGCAATGCTTTAGGGGTACTCACTCAAAATCATTGAGTTTGAGAGGAAGGAAGAAGAAGGCAGTGAAAATGGAAATGGGAACAGCTTTTAGCATCCCAAATCCCAACAAAACATGTTTTTGTAGTTTAAAGGAGCTGAAACCTAGTCAAGCTAGCTACATTGGTTGTTGTTGACACTAATATCATAGGAGTCACACACATACAAATAAAGGTATGGTAGCTAATATAGAGCCATACTAGGACTGTGAACTTTGATCAAAGCATTGTTAAAAGCACACACACACTACATATAATGCTTGTGAACGCATTTGCTTTGTGTGTGTACCCTTTGAAAGGAACATTTAAATGAGCTGGAGCCTGAGCCTCTCAGCCGGCCTAGCTACAAGCAGAGAGGTATCAATATATGTAGGGTGTGTGCATGGAGCATCGATAGGGCCTCCTCATATATATGCCATTTACGTGCTTGTCACTCTCTGCTTTTTATGGCTAAAGGTTTGAGAAAATTTAAACAATACTAGCGATGCCTGCACTGATAATATATGTGAATGCCGAGAGAGAAACTTCCTTGTTCCAGTTTCATTGCTCTCATGTATCGAGAGAGAGAGAGAGAGAGAGATAAAGAGAGGAGGACAATGAAACCGGAACATAGAAGCCTTGTACTCTAGTGACAAGAATAGAGAGACGATATTGCTGTCTACTTAAGTACATTTATATAGAGATAATGTTATTTATAGGGTATCTTGGTGGTCCAAACCACAACATATAGCATAGAGATAGAGATATATAGTAGCAATCACGAGAGGCAATGGCAATAGGGTCAAAATCCCCAACATTCATGTTGATTTTAGCATGGTCAAGTAGAATTTCCAAACTTGAAAATTGTTCCTGGGTTCTCTTTCAGTCTATTGGCTGTTCCAGCGGCAATTTCAAGAGCTTCACATGAGTTAATTATAATGACAATTATGCAGCAGCAGCAGCAGCAGCAGCAGCCTCACAGGCTGGTAGTGCATCAATTGTGCACAGCTAGCTTATAGCTATATGCAGAGAGTGCAGCTATTGTTATTAGTATTATTATTATTATTATTATTAAATATTAATCCAGTATGATCAATCATAATAACTTTACATAAAACGAAATTCTGGTATTTTCTTTCTTTGCGTGAGGGCTATGCACGCAGTCTATATCTACTATATATGCAATCCCACTCATCAATGGCTCCACTTTTACCCAGGCATTTGCTGCATTTCCACAAAAGCCCAAGCAGCAAAGGAAAAACAAATTGAGTGCATGCCCTCTACAACTTACAAGCAATTCTTCTGGTATTTGCAAAAAAGAAGGAAAAAGATTCCTCCTCTTTCTTTACTATACACCTATGTCCTCCTTGTTTGTATAAAATAAATAACTTCTGCTTGCATTTATTACAAACTGAAAATTCTCAGTCTATTATGACAATATAATTACATCGAACCGAAAATATATATAATGTATGATTTCATTTGCTTAAAGAAAAAAAATTAGTGTTTCTCCACCTTAATCTTTAATTTGTCGCATAATGAAATGCTAGTTGTCATATACATATATTCATAGGAATAATTAGAAGAAAAAGGAAAATAATGCGAAAGAAGACAAGGGTAGGCATTGAAATACAAGGATATGGTGGCTGAGGGGAGTGATCAGTGAGTGTGTTTGTTACAGCTCTGCGCTGGCCGTTCTGCAGTATCATTACTACTTGTAACTTGCCAATGCCAGGCCTCCTTTTTCTGTATCTCCTAGGCAGTTGGCATTTTGAGGTAGAAAGAGACACACGGGTTCTTTATTTTAATAAAGGCAGATCTACACAGAAATTAAACCACAGCTTCACCATCATAATTGAACATCTACCATGCACTCATACAGTGGCTCTATATATGCTACTTACTTGACTTGCTTGCTTGTTTATATGAAAATCATAATATGTTAGACTTGTATATCTGCTTAACCAAAGACCAATATAAGATCACAATTTTCATCTAGTGTGTATATACAAAGTTAAGTGTTTCGTGTAATCGTAATTAGGTAGTGCATACGCTCGCTAGCTAGTTATGTGTTTTCATTTGTTGCCTGTATAGTTTGGATTGAACATGGCCCAAATTAGGTATTTTTCTTGACACTCTTTATGTATTTGATGAAACGATCTTAATTTACACACACGCACAAGAAAAGCACGTACAATGAGTTTTTTGGGATGAACTAGTTAACCCCTCCCTAAAAATGTACGTCTCTAATAACGACGTTGCCTGAAATAGAGCTAAATTTCTTCACAATTTGGCATATGCACATTGGATTGGAAACTAGTGGTTGATTGGTAGATAGATCATAGATCCATGGTGGTGGTCCTGTCAGAATATGTGATATCCATCGAAGGCGTAATATTTGAAATGGCATAAAGAAGTTTGTGCTCCAGCCTCGGACGCACTTGCTCTGCATGACCCAATAATACGTATTAACCAATAATTATTAATTGCAATCAAGCAAGCCAGAAGCACTTTGTTTTTGAATAATTCATACGTACACATGAACTGTAATTTGAATTAAAGGCAAATGCTGGCTCCAATCTTCATCAAAGTGGTCATGAGACTCACGACTTTGATAGATAGAGAGTGCTTAGGATTAGGAAGCAGCAGGCTTTTATCAACAAATAAAAGGCGCACACACGCACAATTACCACTGCATGCATATTGATATTGAAAGAGGCTCAAAAAACGTGCTACCAATTAAAAGCTTTATGCAGTAAAAACCAATTAAGTTGAACCCAAAAGAATGAAAAGCTTTTTATGATAAGAAAAAGTTGCATGTATTGTATGATATGCTTTGAATTTATTTTGAGCTCCCTCCATTATCTAGTGTGTATCAAATTAAAAGGAAGCAAATGATTAAAAGAAGCAGAGAATCTGTACTAATAAGCTTTGCTCAACAAGGATAGATCTATAAATATGATGAGTGAGAGGGAGAAAGAGAGAGAGAGTGGGACAGAAACAAAAATAAGACAGTGTGAAAGAAAGAGTCA